CCACACCATATCGTCACAACAACAAAGTCGGCTGTCAAACCCCACCATATCGTCACAACAACAAAGTCGGCTGTCAAACCCCACCATATCGTCACAACATACCGTCACCTTAACATCATGGAGCTGTGTAGTAAATGTTGCACGTGGATTAATTTCCGACCAGAAAATACAGTTACGCGTGTTGAAACTTGCATCGGTCTGTCAGATATTGATAACCACTGGTCATCGACTTCTATCGGTATATAAGATATTGGTAACCACTGGTCATCGACTTCCATCGGTCTATAAGATATTGACAAACCACTGATCATCAACTTCCACCGGTCTATAAGATATTGGCAGACCACTGGTCATCGACTTCTATCGGTCTATGAGATATTGGCAGACCACTGGTCATTGACTTCCATCGGTCTATAAGATATTGGCAGACCACTGGTCATCGACTTCCATCGGTCTATAAGATATTGGCAGACCACTGGTCATCGACTTCCATCTGTCTATAAGATATTGGCAGACCACTGGTCATCGACTTCCATCGGTCTATAAAATATTGGCAGACCACTGATCATCGACTTCCATCGGTCTATAAGATATTGGTAACCACTGGTCATCTACTTCCATTGGTCTATAAGATATGGCAGACCACTGATCATCGACTTCCATCGGTCTATAAGATATTGGCAGACCACTGGTCATCGACTTCCATCTGTCTATAAGATATTGGCAGACCACTGATCATCGACATCCATCGGTCTATAAAATATTGGCAAACCACTGGTCATCAACTTCCATCGGTCTATAAGATATTGGCAGACCACTGGTCACTGACTTCCAGTCTTGCCTAGAACTGCAACACAAAATCAACACTGCAGGTTAAAGCTGTCTCCTTCGGTGCTTGATGCAACTTGTATAGATACATTCGCAAAGTTGGCGGAACAGAGAACTCGGCATATCTAGATACTGTACGACATAACATACACTGCTGCTACGACATAGCTAACCTCGGTAGGTGTTGATGGTCTGGCTGCACCTGAATTATCACAGATGTAATGTGTCTTCTCAGTTTTTCTTTCTGAACTTGTACACAACAACACTCGGCGTTTTATCCTTCGGTGTAACGAAATTTCACTAGTTCACCTCTCTGTACCCTTGTCAGGTCATGTTGGTTGAATGGGCAATTTCTAAGAAATATACAAAGAAACCACAGTGGCGCCCCGAGTGGCAACAAGTGACAACTGTGACATGTATGTAACTTTCTACTTTATAATATCTGTTTAACTGATATTTTAAACATTATAGTTTAACGTGTAGTTTCTGTATCAAACTTCCTACTTTACAATATCTGTTTAACTGATATTTTAAACGTTATAGTTTAACGTGTAGTTTCTGTATTTACCTTTCTACTTTATAATATGTGCTTAACTGTTATTTTAAACATTATAGTTTAACGTGTAGTTTTTATATGTAACTTTCTACTTTATAATGTATGTTTAACTGATATTTTAAACATTATAGTTTAACGTGTAGTTTCTGTATGTAACTTTATACTTTATAATATCTGTCTAACTGATATTTTAAACGTTATAGTTTAACCTGTTAAAGAATAATATTTCTGTAATAGGTTTTTAAAGTATTTTACAACAGTTCAATGTATTTGTTGCTTTTCAGATATCATGATGAAGATCACGCTAACCTTCTAAACACTATGTGGTTAACCGCCATTACCTTCCTGTCGGTGGGTTATGGAGACATAGTACCAAACACTTACTGTGGCAGAGGGATAGCCGTTACAACAGGACTTATGGTAAGTACAGCAAACTCAAGGTATCTTATATTGAAACATACCACTCGAGGTATCTGATGTTTAAACATACCACTCGAGGTATCTGATGTTTAAACATACCACTCAAGGTATCTGATGTTTAAACACGTCACTCAAGGTATCTGATGTTTAAACATACCACTCAAGGTATCTGATGTTTAATCACGTCACTCGTAGTATCTGATGTTTAAACATACCACTCAAGGTATCTGGTGTTTAAACATGCCACTCGTTGTATCTGATGTTTAAACATACCACTCAAGGTATCTGATGTTTAAT